CCTGCATGTAGAGCAAAGCGGCTCTCCTTGCACCACAATTTCTACACAGGACAGGTGGGATGGCTCAGGCTGCCAATTGAGGTAAGCTGATCCTTCTAATGGCTGGAGATTTGCCTGGGCATGGAGCAGAGAGGGCCTCATTGCCTCATGATCCATGTCCAGGGCAGGTGTGGTGGCTCAGGCTGCTGAGCCAGATGAGCAGGTGCTTTGAATGCCCAGAGTTCTGCGCTGGCATGAAACAGAGTTGGCCTCCCTGCATCCGGATCACTGCATAGGATGAGTGGCACAGCTCAGACTGCTGCTCCAGGTGAACAGGGTATCTGAATGCCTGGAGATTTACCTAGCCGTGGAGTGGTGAGGAATTTGCTGTACCACGATCTATGTCTATCAAGTGTGGGGTAGCTCAGGCTGCTGGTCCAGGCAAGTGGGTGCTCCAAAAGCCTGGATTTCTGCCAGGGGAGAGAACAGAGAGGGCCCTGCTGCACCACAGTCTCAGGGGAGCAGGATGGACACCTGCAGATTGGTTCCACCTTGCCAAGCTTGCCCTAGATTTACAGATACAAGTATTATTGCCCAGTAGAAACTGCAGCTTTACCAACTCTCCTCCTGTCCCAGGGTTGTGGCAGAGGAGAACACAATTCTGGCACCTACTGCTGAGGTGCTTTCCACAGGTCTGGCTGTGGAGGCTCCTGCACTGCTCTAGAGTGAGTGGTTCAGTCTCTGGCTAGAGATTAAAATGAATGGCTGCCTTTCTATGCCCTCAGATTAAAAATGGCATTCAGGTCTTGGTCATGAGTCTAGGAAAATGTCTGCAGCTTTTCCTCAAATCTTTTTTTCACAATGTCTCCAAGGCACTCCACAAATTAGCTCCAGGGCTTGGGAGGAAAAAGTGCTTTCCCTTGGCATGCTTTGCTGGGATCTCCAATGGAAAGGCAAATACAGAGGGAGGCTCTCTTCCTCTCTCACATACTGAAGCTTCCCTAACTTTTATTAGCTGGATGCTATCAAAGGGGCTGTTTGCCCATGTTCCCCTCCCTGGGATCTGGGGTATCCTTCATGATTCTGGTGGATTCCCATTTTCCTTCTTGAAATAAAGCCCACACAGTTGGTCTTTATGCACTGTCTTGCTATTTCCAAGTGGCTGAGGCATGTTAAAAGGCCCTAATATACTATCTTGGCAGGGGGAAAAAAGAAATAGTAGTTTTAAGATTAGGTCATACTTTAATATCACCTAGAGATGGCTTAAAAAAATACAAATTCCTGACCTCTACACTAAAACAACACAATAAAGAATCTCTGAGACATGCAACCTGGGGATGGGTATTCAATAAACACCTCAGGTGATTTCTTATGCTGCCAGAATGTCAATTGTCTGAAGACCTGTGCTTACATTTATGTTTATATTTGGAGAGAGAGACAGTGATGAGAGCCTAGTTGCTGAGTTCCCCAGTTAAGAGGCTCCCAGGCATCCAGCTGAGGAGCGATAAGGGGCTGAGCTGGAGCAGGAGCAATGCTGGGGGAGAGGAGGGGCAGGGTCAAGGACTACCTCTAAAGTAAAAGTGTTAGTTGGACACTGGAGCCTCTTTGGTTGAAGGAGTGAGGAGAGAGCTAGAAGATGACTTGAAGTAAAAATATCGCTAGACACACATTATGGCTGTGATGCTTGTGTGTATTTTTAGCTGAGTCTGTGACACCAAATGGACCATTTCAGGCTGTTGGGACAGAGGGCCAAAGTTTGATTTAATCTAAGTCATGAGGAAGGGGCCTTTGAAGTCAGCCACACCAGGTTCATTTTATAGATTAAAAAAACTGAGTCTCAGGGAGAGAAATACATTTGTCTGAATCTGTTTTGGTGACCAGTGAGTAAAATTAAGACCCATGTCTTCTGACTTTTCAAGCTTGTGTCTTCTGCTGTTAAATTATCTAAATAGTTCTTGCATCCATTATATTAACTTTTGTGATCTGATTGATTGTTTTGCCATTTAACAGCCCTCATAGCCCAAAGCTGAATCATGAACCTCATCTACACTACTATGAAGTGTGTGTTTAAGAGCACTGGAGACTTACGTGGTGAAGTTAATTATTTTCAGTGCAGTAATCCAGTGTAACACAACTTAGTTTAGAAGTTTCTGCTAGGCAAAAACTATACATTTCCAGCACAAAGCATAGAGCTTTAGCCACATTAGTCAATCTGTAAATGTGTGTTGAATAAGTGATCTAAAGCCAAGGGAAGTTTTTGAATTATAGTCATTTTTTAAAAGGAAATTTAACTGTAATGAATTCATCAGGTCTCTGCTTTGCCCAAAAGTACACACTCACTCTGAGTCACATGGTTCTCATTCCCTGAATAAGAAACAGCCAAGAGCGCTGTCAGCTGACAAAGAAAGGAAACAATGTCAGTACTAGAAATGCTCTGATCTAAATGTGACCCCTTGCCGGAATGTCAAAAATAAAAACTTTCCAAGTAGGCTGGCCCAGTGACCTCAACATACAAAAGTCTTTTCTTTCTAGAAACAAACTGTCTTCTTCTTGTTTCTGATCTGACGCACATGCATTCACAAACTCAAACACACATACACACACACACATATATTTTCCTTTTTGATTCTCTATGAAGGTATAGCCTACGCATTGCTTTTTGTATGGTCTTAAAATAACTCTTTATTATATATTTAAAATGCAAAATATTTATTCTTGAAGACCACCATATTCTACGATGAAAACCTCTGGACAAGCAGATTATTAAATAAGCCACAACTTGGCTCTTCATCTGATTAGATCCTTGAAAGAGATCATAAGACATCCTTTAAAAGCCTCAAGGCCTTGGAAGTTCTGAATAATCACAGAAGGCTTTTTTCCCCTATTATTCTGAAAAAAGAAAAGAAATGTAAAACTTCTTTGGGAAAACTGAAAGTTCATCTGTGGATTATGTGTCATGTGGAGACTATTTTGCCCCTTTATTTCATTGTTTAGACAACTGTGGGATATTTTTTAAAAATGCTTCTCTAATGTAACCCATGTAAAAAATACTGAGACTGTCATATGCTGGTCCTGACAAAATACTCTTTTTTTCCAGTGATACTTGCTTCTGCACACGTGCTCACACACTGGGGCCAGAGCCGTTGACCTTCATTCATTTTCACTAAGTGCTTAGGGAGCCTTCTCTCTTACAATTTCAATGCTGCTACCAATGTGAATATAACAATCTATAAAACAGCTTGCTAACCTGAATTAGAACTTACCATCATAAAACTTTGAGCTCATAATTAAGGGTAAACTTTTCTTAGAGATATGTTGACTGTGTTTTCTTAGATACAACCCACTTTTAGCATTTTACTCTTTCCAAGAAAAGTTGACTTGTTAAATACACACTGACTTTGTTTTAATTTGTGTAACTTTATGAGACTCTTAACATAAATAAATTCCCAAATCAGAATAAAAAGACTTCATCTGGTCACATACTTTTGGGGTTTTGGGATCAGAAAATATAAGCCAGTCTTCATTAGCTCCTATCTTCAGCAACTATTAATAGACAAGAGTTTGAAGTAATGGGATTTTGTTCATTTTTGTTACTCAGCTGAAATAATTTTTTTGCCATAAACTCTGATCTGAAACTCTGATTTCAGAACTTGTGCCATATTGTCTTTCATATTTTTTTAGCATGCTGCCAAAAGAGAAGGAAAACTCAAGTATTGACTAGTTCTAATGTACTATCTGGTTGCCTTGCATATATTAATTCACTTCGTCCACATGACAACACTGTGCAGTACAAATTATTATTGCCATTTTGCAGATGAGGAAGAATGAACTTAGAGTGCTTAAGAAACTTGGCAATATTCAATCAGAAAATTAAGCATCAGAGAAAAATTGATACCAGCTGATTCTAACTTATTCTAAAACCAATCCTTATCCTTAAAAAAACAAAACAAAAAAATCCCAAAACTTATTTAGTGTTTTGCTTTAGGAAGGCTTTTCTTATCCAATAGGTTATAGAGTATTTAAGGGTAGAGACCATCTAGTTTACTGTTGTATTCTGAGCAGCTAGTCCAGAAACTGGCACCAATGAATAGATGTCCAATAAATATCTGTTCAGTCAAATTCAGTGAGATGGTACTGGTACATAAGCCTGCAGAAGAGAGAGTACAGTCTATAGTTTAGTAGTTGAGAGTATTCAATGCTGATAAAAGACTGTGAGCTCTAGATTCAGACAGCTCGGGTTTGTATTATGATTTCTCAAGCTTACTATCTGTATAATTTGAGAATGTTACTTAGACTAAGTCTCAATTTTTTCACTTTAAAATGGGGGTAATAATTTTACCTTCTCGATCACTATGTAAATCACATTTCTCATGGTTAGTAAACACGTAGTAAATAGTAGCTATTATTATAACCTTTAATTGGACTAGATTGTGGATCCCTTTTAAACATACTCCATAATTTATTTATTATGTTTATTGTTTAAAATATGTCTTCCCATTAAAATATAATCTCCATGGTGTCAGGGATTCTCATATTTTAATCAGAATATCCCAAATGTTTAGAACAGTGTTGCCCAATTGAATGTTTTATACTGATAGAAATGTTTTATATTGGCATAGTCTAATAGAGTAGCCATTAGCGACGTGTGGTGACTGAACACTTGAAATGTAGCTACCTAGAGTGACAGAGTACTTGAATTAAAATTTTTCTTTAGTTTTTGTTCATTTAATTTAAATATCCATGTGTGGTTACTCGAATACTGTATTAGCACAGGTCTAGAATATTACATGGTACACAGAAGTTTCTCAGTACCTATTCATTAAATGAAAGAATTCCCTTCTGAACTAAAAAATCATAACAAAGCTGCATGATTGCATATTTGGTTTACTCTTTAAAGATTATCAATAAAGATGAAACACTTTACTGAGTGACTTCCTCACCTTGGAGGCCGCATGAAGTTCTAATACGATTTGGTTTACAATTGTAATATGTTTTTCATTTTTATTTCTTTTTGGTGTCAGGTCAAGAAAGATTTGGAAACATGACAAGAGTCTATTACCGAGAAGCTATGGGTGCATTTATTGTCTTCGATGTCACCAGGCCAGCCACATTTGAAGCAGTGGCAAAGTGGAAAAATGATTTGGACTCCAAGTTAACTCTCCCTAATGGCAAACCAGTTTCAGTGGTTTTGTTGGCCAACAAATGTGACCAGGGGAAAGATATGCTCATGAACAACGGCCTCAAGATGGACCAGTTCTGCAAGGAGCATGGTTTCGTAGGATGGTTCGAAACATCAGCAAAGGTAATGTGACTTTAAATAATAAGCTTATCATAGGCAAGATTAACAAAGAAAATGGCACATAATCATCGCCATTATCATAATGATAATAATATGTTTGTTTAGTGATTTATGATTTCCCAACTGCTTTAAATTCTTTCTCATTTCAAGGTGATGAGTAGGCAAGGCAGGAATTATTATCTGCAATTTAAGATCATTGTGGCAAAAGGAGCAAAGCAACTTGTACAAGGTTATAATAATAATAGTTGGTAACTGTGTTTGCTTTTTGAGGTCTTACTATAAGCCAGGCATATTTTCCATTTTTTTTTTTTTTTAATGAGACAGAGTTCCACTCTTGTTGCCCAGGCTGGAGTGCAATGGTGCAATCTCTGCTCACTGCAACCTCTGCCTCCCAGGTTCAAGTGACTCTCCCACCTCAGCCTCTTGAGTAGCTGGGATTATAGGCATGTGTCACTGCGCCTGGCTAATTTTGTATTTTTGGTAGAAAGAGTGTTTCTCCATGTTGGTCTGGCTGGTCCTGAACTCCCAACCTCAAGTGATCCACCTGCCTCAGCCTCCCAAAGTGCTGGGATTACAGGCATAAGCCACGCGCCCGGCCTCCGAGCCAGACATATTTGCATGCATTTTACCGTTTAGTCCTCAGAGAAACTTCATTAGGTGAGTATTATTTTACAGTAATGCCTTATTCGTGTGTTAGTTAATTTACACATTCAATATTTAATATGTTCACCTGTGTGTCAGGAATTGTGCTTGTTCCTGTGAAAGAAAAGATGGTAAACACCACATTGGGCATACTGGAATAGTGGAGTAACTGAGAATAGACAGCAAACACAAATGTGAAGAACACAGCATAGCTTGGCCATGCTGATTCCCCTGGGTGGCAGAGAAGTGACCGGAGGGAGAGCTGAGGCAGGGCTGGAAGATGAAGGATCCTGTGTAGTGGATAAGAATTATGTACTTCCCATAGCACCCTCATGTTGTCAATTGGTATGTCAGGTGCCTGATTTTTGTTCCGCTCTCTTTTTGTTTGTGCCTGTATTTTAAAAATCTCAGTATCACAGAAAAAAAATCTTTCATGGCAAAATTTGAAAATCCGTAAAAAACCATAACTAAAATTTTAAAAATAACTATTTTTGCTGTATTTTCTGATTTTTGTTTGTGTGCATATAATTACATTATTTGAATTCCATTATACATGGTTTTACATCATGATCTTTCCACTTTTATTCAAATATTAAATGCTAGTTTTTTGGGGATTCAGCTGTGAATAAGATAGCCATGGGCTCCGTACTTACAGAGTTCACACTTTGGCCTTATAGTGAACATTTGTGCGCCTCATTACCAAATGGTTTGAAAATATTACTGGAATTGTCATCATTCCAATAGGCTGAGGAGGAACCTCTAATGCGTTTTCTGCTGGAAAGTAGAATGGTTCACTTTGCCTTGGAGAAACTAGGAAGAAGGATTGAAGGGTGGTGAACCAGGAGACAGAGTGGCATGGTAGTTACCGTGTTCTATGGGAACATAATGAGACTTTAAACTGGAGTCGAGGCTGTAGACGCTGGAAAGAAAACCTGGATTTGAGAATACCACTGAATTACAAAGAGCAGCACAATTAAGCAAGCACTTGGATTGGAGATGATGGCGGGGAGGAAGAGCCTGGTGGTCCCACTTTTTCTGTCACAGTGGGATGTTCTTTTCTTTCAATCCTTCCTATGGAGAGCCCTGATGCCTGTCTCCTGGCTCTTCTGTCACTAGCTACTTTTCTGTTTGTTAAGTTGTTATTCCTCAGTTGCCAGAGTTCCTGTTTTCCTTTTGAGGCCCCAGTGTGCCAGTGTGCTTTCCCCTTTTATTCTATTTAAAATTTCTGTTTCCCTGTTTCTTAGGACTCTTCCTTTGGTTCAGGATACGTTCCCCATCATTTTATATTTCTTGACTGTCATTGAACCTTTTTAGTTTATGTGGTTGAGGGATTTCTTGCTGTAAAGGGAGATAAGTAGAGCACAACTGAAAGGCATGATTAAGTTACAGAAATTTAACAAGCATGGTATCTTTGTAGTCTGTCTTCTTTTTTGAATGTTAGCCTGTTTCTTTTTTAAATTCCAAAATGTGGGTGAATTCACTGATTTTCATTTCCTTTTAGCTCCACACTGAATTTCACTCCAAATTTCCTGTGTATTCCTTTAAATTGCTTTCTTTCAAAAAGTGTCACTCCCCAGCCCAGAAGCCTCCAGGCACAGGGGAAAAAGAGTAGGTCTTTGGAACTCCTTGTCTTAGTTGATTACATTACATTGTAAGTATAAACTAGGCTAAATGACCCATATTTACATGAGGAGGGGAGTCTTTTATTCATTCATTCATTCATTCATTCAATCGATACTATCAAATACCTGTTATATGCCACATAAATGTTCTAGGCGCTGAGAATTTAGAAATTTATGAAACAGAACTTTGCCTTCATGGATAACAACAACCACAAAACAAATAAAATATACAGTGTGGGATAGTGATTAAGTGCTAATAAGAAAAAAGGGAAAAGAAAGAAAAAGGCCTGTGAATCTGTAGGGAGGCTTGAAATTACTTCTGGGTCAAAGACCTCTGAACACATTTTTCACCTCAGTTGAACATTCCTTGCTCATCCACTAGAGTGTTAAACTGTCTGCTTAAGGACACATGTTTATTAGCTTTAGGAATCGCTAACCCACATTACTTAGGTACTGGATTTCTAATCCTCCAAATCTCTGTAAGTGTGCACTTTGAAGAGAAGCTTTGTATGGTGTTGGGGAGAGGGGACATGGGATTTCACAAGCTAATATAATCAAGAGAATACAAGGCCTAATTGTAAAATAGCCATGTTCCACATCTCTTTTCCTTTCAAACATAATGCTATTGAGGTTGTCCTTCTGAATGTCTTAACGAAAATGGCTTGCCTGTGCCAGGTTAGTATTCAAAGTCAACACTTGGAAGCTCAGGAACAGTCCTGCAGCACTGACAAACTGGAGTGTCAAACTGTTTTAAAAATCTTTTTAAAGATCTCTGATAAAGCTCTGCTAACTTTCTGAGTACAGTATTACAACATTTGCAAACCAGAAGCCTAGATCAAACTGTCTGCCTGAAGCAGAGATGGTAATTTTTAGGGACAGCTACTAATTCTTTCCTTCATTTTGAGATCAAAGAACATTTCCCGTTGGTATCTTTCTCTTATACAGTCAGTCTACTAACAATTAGAGTTCTTTTGAGTGGTGACATAACGTCTGGTGGTAAACATGTGATTCCCTGTCTTCACATTGCTGAAATTTCTGAGTCAGACTTCTGGCTTTGTCCCCATGGGCACATCCTGCAGAAATTCTTCGGGTATCATCATTAGCTTGGACATCTCTGCAACTGAAACTTTTAAGATCTTAATAAGTTAATCATTGAAACCAGCCTCTGTCTTACCACTGACACCACTGCTGAGGCAAATTTACCCCCTTGCTTTTCAATCCTATGCAGTAAATTTCGTTGAGAGTTTTATGGCTAATGCTGTTGCTGGAGCAATGCGTGGTAGTCCCTGGCTGGCAAGTGAATTAAGAGAGAAAAAACAGAAATTAAATACATATTGGTGTATCTGGTTTTTCACATTATCTCTTCCAATGTTAAACCAAAGGAAAGAAAATAGTCTTTTCTAAGTCAGATATTCCTTGGTTTTCAACCTTTGTATTGTTTTTTTTTTCTTTCTTGGCTATATTTCCTTGAATTATTCCTGTGGATTCTCTAGGTGATATATAATTGGGGTAATCATGTGTCCCAGTTTGTCCCCCAAATTCCTGGTTTATACCTAGTGTTCCAGCATAATTATTAATAATACCTTCATTTTTAATTTGTAATTTAAATTTACATGGCCACCTGTAGATCATGAGCTCAATTCATTTTACTCTGTACATCATACTTTAGCTCTAATAATGGGATATTTTAGTATTCCTGTGCCCATATTCCATTTTTATAATCTGCTTTGGCAGTTCTGTTTATTTAGGATAAGGATCCTGCCCTTCTCTTGTTAGTATATTTTCAGGGCCCATCTCAGAGGCTGACTGAGCTCTGCTACCTGCTGAACAAATTGGCTGGTATATTCTTGGTGCCCATTACCTGACTCTCCATCAGTTGCTGTTTTTTAATTAAATCTCTAATCATACCCACCCACCTTCTAGAGCTGCTGTGAGCATTAAGAGATAATGTATGTGGGGCCCAGATGCATAATATCAGATCCCACCACGTGTAGACACACACTTCACACACTCTACACCATTCCGACTGTCTCTCCCCACGGTCCATATGCTGATCTGGCTCTGATGCACACAACAGTCGCACTCTGATGAAAAGGTTTGTTTCTATATCTTAGCCTTTTCCAGCCTGCTCTATTCTGCTCGCATAATGGAATGGATCAGGTGTGACTATGTTCAGAAATACACCACCACAAACACGAGTGTAGGTGGGAAAGGATGGAGCAAGTTGTATATATGCAATAGTGGAGACAAAAGTCAAATGCACAGAAAGAACATCCATTGCCTCCTGCTCTTACTCCCCCTACCCCAGTCCTACTCCTGACAGATATCTTTGGTTCTTTCTGTGCTATTTATAGTGACTTCTTGGACTCACCCTCTCTCCCAGAATGTTCTAAGAGCAACAGGTGCCCTGGGAAGAAACTTTCCTTTGTTAAATTATTCTCAATTTTAGCCTCTTCTCTGAAGCTAAAAATAAAAATGTTAATATGTATCCTTCTGCTGAGAAAAGAATATATCTAATACTGTTCTCTGTGAGATGGTATTAGTTTCTTTTAGGGGGAAGAGCAGATGTTCCATAGTGTAGTGGATATTTTTCGTGTTTTCTGGCTTTCTAACAACTGTTAAATACATTTGCTATCTTTGGGAAATTTTCAGCCATAGGAAGCTCACCTCGCCAGGAAGAACTCATAAAACTTTCTTCTTTTGCTTCCTTTGCAACTAGACACAGGCAGATGACCTAGA